GAGAACTGATTAGTTGCCCAATCCTCCAAATGACACCCACCAAAATCCAAATCGGCCAACGTCGACCGAATAACCAAGGTAATCATGGGCAGCAAGCATCGTTCTTACTCCTCCTTCTTCAGGTGCCATGGTATACTTTTCGATCTACAAAAAACTGATCAGATGGGAATCAGCATACTTATACAAAGCAAAACAGATAAACTGCAAGCTCACTTTTCAAAAAATTAAAGTAGTTATGGCATGTCGAAAAACTCAAAAACAACACGTAATTTTTACTGAAGAAGAATTTTTAGGACTAAGGACTCTCAAACTCCTTAGAGAGAAACTCCTTTTTATCAACAAATGAGCCACACTTGTGGTTGGACACAACAACAAAGCACGAAAAAATATGCGGTCAAAAAGCCCAACTAAACAAACTGAAAATAATGCTTACAGTCGTGCCAAAAATGCCTCCTTCCGCCTTGCGGGCATACACTCCACCTGTCCACTTCATGGCGCCAATCAGTCCGGTCACCATAACGTTCTTAAACATTAACTGCTCGTAATTCTCGTTATAGCTTTTAATTAATAATGCAAAACATGGTCTCAAAAATTAACAGTGATCCAAAAATATCGGTGTTTTTGTGAGATATAGCGAATAAACGTTGACGTCGAATCACACAACTGATGAGTATAATCTTGCAAAACAATCAGGCACGTACCCCAGAAATAGCAGCCGAGAATCCTTCCATACAAGCCCCGTATTCGTTGTGTCGATCAAGCTTAGGAAGATTCTTCTGGAGGCAAGTGGTGTAAGTTCCACCCAGAGTGAGATCAGAATTCAACTCGTAACATGCGCCTTGCGTGTACGCACTTGTGTTGTGAAATCGCATTAGTGGAGCGCAGACCTATAAATTCACGGGAAGATGGAAGAATTTTCTACAGTTGAAAAATTACTAGCACTCACAACAGCTCCTCCTCTCCTGGTGCCCTGAGAAGCTAGGGAAGCGCCGAGAAGTTCTCCATTTTTCCCAAGATAGTGAACCTCACGTCCTGTTAGTGTTAGATCCGGTGACTTCAGATATGATGATTGGTCCTCGTATTCAGAACGAACTTGTTCACACCTGAACACAATCACCTGTGCTACAGATATGGAAATCAAAAGCACACAAAAGTATAAAGTCGGGCGACTGATATGGTCAAATAGAGGATTTGAAGATATAGTAGAAAAAAATCGGGACTCAATAGCTTTTGAGGAGAGGTATCAATGAAAGGAATCAAATAAGAAAACCGTAATGTAAATCGGGAAGGAAGAACGTGTATTTATTGATTGATGAACCAAAAAATTTTCAAACAGAAGCACCTATCGAAAGGACTTGTCAGATACCGAGGAAATTTCAAAACGAGTAATGCACCACAAAAAAGCCAAAAAGAGTTTAAATAAGATTTCTACGCCATCACTATTGAGAAATTCACAGAAAAGCCTCTTACCATTCGGATCCATTGCCAGAGTATCTGGTGTTAATAGGACAGGCGAATAAAGCGCCAGCTTGAATCGTCCCAACTTGGCCTGATTCGGCACGAGGAGCTCCAACGAGCACTCTGCAAAAAAAAGTTCAAATAGATACAATGAGCATAAGAAACTACCCTGTTTCAGAGACTTTTCTGAAACTTTGGGTCCTAATAGTTAGTCGATAACCTTTCCACCCTTCTCAGTGGGACCAGCAAAAAGTTATAAAAGGTTTTAATCCTTTACTGGAGCAGAATATGTCGAGACAGCAATCTAGTAGAGGAGAACCAAGTTCCAAGCTTATTTTTCAATATCAAATAACAAGCTTCCTTTTATCTGTTCGATCTCTAAACGCATACAGCTTATTCAAAAGTGGCAGAGATGATAGTCAGCGCTGATTCAGAAAATGCAAGTATCGGCCAAAACGTGGATGAATCTTCAGCTTTAAATATTTACTATCGAGTGAGACCAACCCTCTCCAAATCGCCAGCCAATAAATCACGGAATCAAACAAGCGATAAAATCCATATCTGACTACCTAATTTAATTTCACCGATGGAGAATCATGACGAGATTGACGTCATAATCGAAAAAGTGCGGAGAAGGGATTAATCCACAGCTCATTTCGAAATAGGTGAGATGAAGCCTACCACCCAGTGATATTGATGGCAGGAATAAATTCAAGCATTTTATTTGAAAAGGAATTGCCTCAATATAAGGCTTTAATTCCACTTATATGAGCTAAGGTATGCATTCTCATGGAGGTGATCAAAAACAGCTGCCAGGCCGAAAAAATTAAAAATTAATGCTGCTATTGTGCTGCTTCGAAAGCACACTGTGACCTTAATTCATACATAACCTGTTATGCCGCAAAACTCGTTCTGGAGCCATACTGATAAGGGCTGTTTTGGTGAAGAACATAAAAGGCAAGCCAAGAGGATGAGGAATTTCGCCCTCTGGAGGTGGTGAATCACTTCCCACAAAAATAGTGATACTGGGGCAAAATATTGGAATTAAAAAGAATGCCAAAAAAGGAAGTGGTTCGAATGAGGACAGACGACAAAACTCTTTTTGCACAAAGAAAGTTATCCATTCATCCGGCGTTCCTTTTCTCTAAACCTAAGCAAAATCCTCGTCCCCTAGTTCACAGTTGCTTCCTCAACCATTCAGCAGCAAAAGCCGTTAAAAATATAATAATTCGGCGCAATGTG